TCCTGGTTGATATGAAGATTAAAATTAATAATGTATTTCAACAGTGCTTGGGGGACTGCAAAGGATTATGCACATTTTAATTGTTTTCGCTTGCGCTGGAAGCCTTGTCTTTGAGCACAAGGGCTGATGCAAACAGGGAAATGGCTCCAAAGCATCTCTGGCCACAACCCCAAGACCTTGGCTCTACTGGGCACTGAGCCATATACCATTTTTCTGATGGCTACAAGACATCATGTCAGCGCCACCAGTCATGAATTCCCTGAGGCATAAGACCTAATTTTAGAAACAGTTGAGCAAAGCTTTTGGCACAGAACAATGCACTCATTATTTCACACTCCTCAGGTGAACATGAATGACTGGGTGGCCTTCCTGTCAGAGGAGTTACCTGGCAGGTAAGTCTCCAATTACTTCATGAAACATCCCCCCAATATTCTGCTGTGACCTCATGTACCAATCTTCCCAGGAACCGCTTACCAACCACTATTTTCCTGTCTGTTCACGAGAACTAAAACGCTCTTGCGTAGTACAGTAGTGTGCCTGCATGCTTAGTCCAGTCCGACTCTTTCCAACCCCATGGACTGTATTGTAGCCTGTCAGGTTCCTCTGTCCATGCAATTCTTTTTTTTTTTTTTTTTTAATCCATGCAATTCTTCAGGCAAGAATATGGAGTGGGTTGCCATTTCCTCCCTCCAGAGGATCTTCCCGACACAGGGATTGAACCCATGTCTCTCAGGTCTCATGGGATTCCTCTATCAACTGAGAAGCCCCCTGAGAACCTCTTGCTGGTGAAACAAATTTAAAGACCCCTCCTCTATCTGCTGAATTTATTTCAGAAATCCACCCTGTGCCCATCTCCAGAATCCTTGGCTATTGCCTCAAACACAAGTTATTTATTCTATTCCATCCATCTATTATTCTCATTCACTCATGTTCATTTGCTGTTGGATTTTTCTCCCTTGATCCAACACCTACTGTTGTTCCTCTATGTTTAGAACCTTGTTCTCTGGATCACCTATGTTGGTTCATGTTCTTATTTGCCCAACACCCTTCCTCTACACCTTCTAATAATAGACACACCCTACCCATGGGAAAAGCACATGTCCTAGAAATGACCATATAACCAAGCCACCCCAGTCTAGATCTTTTCTTGGGATTGTTCTGATAAAACTTGCAAGGGACTATGCTCTCTGACATGTAAATAAAGTCCATTGACTATAGGGAAAGATGAAGCCAACCTGAAACAAAAGACAGAAAAAAAGATTTATGGAGAGAGGGTCCTGAGAAGGTCAAGTGGCTGGTTCTAGTTCCTAAAATCCACAACATGTCCCAGTTCCCGAAACTTTTCTTTTGAATCTGTTGAATCTTTTGACTCTTCTTTTCAGTCCCTTGCAACTAGGAGAGTTATAATAAGATAATCTACTTAATTATAAAGAAAACCTCCTACATCCTCCACCACTGCACCAAACATTCCTTTGATGGGTTGCCAAAACTATGTCCTAACCCTCCCCTCGAATCACCAAGCCCCTTTAGCGGGGCTGACAGTCTCCTGCCCCAACCCCTCCAGGGCCACCCTGCTCCAACCACCATCTTTACTTCCACACTATGGCAGTTATGCCCCACTCATTCCTTCAGAATAGGATTGTAGCTCACAGTCTTCCTGGCACTGCCCGCCCTGATCTCAGTGCCGTGGGGAGAACCTCCACTCAGCTCCACGACTGCGTTGTGTCTACTGACGTTTCCTTCTCCCTCCATTTCAGTGTGAAAAGAGGTGTCCCCTCCTAGAGAAAGTTAACCCTCTACCTATGTTCTGGAGGACCCCATCCTTCAAGACCTCATCCCATCAATCTTCCCACCTCTCCCCACTTCCCCAATGTCTTCAACCTCTTCCTCTTTTCCCTTCTCCCATCTAAACATGCTCTGTCACATCCTTCACAAGTGAACACAAAACCTACCTTAACTCCCTATTCTTTAGTGACCTACCCCGCTCTCTCCCCCACTTCAAAGCTAAACTTCTTGAAACCATTTGCACTTCCTGTTTCTACTTCTGCACTTTGTGTTCACCACTTTATGAAACTGATCTCTAGTCTATCAGAGAAACATTAACTTGGGCCCTTGGTGTGCTAAATTAAGTGAAACTAAAGTGAAGTAAGTTATACTTTAAAGAAGGATAGATGCTGTTGGTGGGAATGCAAATTAGTACAGCCACTATGGAAAACAGTGTGGAGATTCCTTAAAAAGCTGGAAATAGATCTGCCATATGACCCAGCAATACCACTTCTTAAAAAAAAAAAAAAAAAGAAGGATAGATGCTCCATCTAGGGCTCCTTAAGCTTCTAGAGGTCAGAAGGTCACAGTCCTGCCCTTAGCAGGACCCAAGAGTGGTATGAGTGGGTCAAAGTCTTTTCATTACCAGGCAGCTCTCCCTGCCAATCCTTTCTAAGAGTAACAACACCATATTATAAATTTGGTCTATTGTTTCAATAGCAGTAACATTTATACTCAAGAAAATTATATCATCTCCAACTATTAAAGCAGTGGTTTTGCTTCCTCATAGAAATACAATTTCTTCCTCACAAGTATGAGTGCAATTTTATAGTCTTAAAACTTACTGTAAATGATTTGACAATAGCACATAAACAGATAAATGATATGACCTGCTTTTTTCTTTTACTATTATTTGAGCTCCATCAGAGCCAGTTTCTTCAGTGGATTAGGTTGAGAATCATCACTTTCTGAAAGTTCAAGGTCATCCTGATAAGTTAAACTCCTGGAGGACTGTTTATATTGAAGTAAGAATGGATCTGTCAGACAAACAGGTTACCAGCGCTGGGACTTTGGGCAAATTACTTTACCTCTCTGAGCCTCAGTTTCCCCATTTTAAAATTTTAACAACAATTTCATAGGGTTTCTATGAAAACTAAATGATGTAACCTGGAGCATAGTAGTCATGCAACAAATATTAGTTTCTCATTTTCCATCCTCTGTCCCCTAGAAGATGGTAAAACCCAACAGTTACATGTTAGTTCTTCCTTTTATTAGACACATGCTTGTTGTACTTACTTTCACATCATCTCAGAACTGGTGTTTTCCCCTTTTTAATGTGTGTCTTGTACAACCAACTAGAAATAACTCTTCAGAGGGCAAAAATCGCCTTTCTGTTTCTTCTATATTTCTCATAATTACAGCAACCCCATGCCACAGTTTTTCCTGGACAGACTCAGTTTCAAACAATCTTTTCTTTGTTCTTTTTTAAATTATTAAAAACATCCTGAGGTCCAAGTGACACCTGCCAAAACATCACTTACCCAGAACATAATGCCTGTACATCACTTACCCAGAACAAAACGCCTGTACACATAGGAGCCAGCACCATGCTGGGCCATGATGGCCGGCAGAGGGGGACATGCCTGAGCAATCAGTCTGCTTAAGAGAGGTCTCTAGCGCCCTAAGGGCCTCATAAGACCACTTTCCCCACCAACATGACCCACCTTCAGAGGGTTTCATGGCAGTCCCCCTTCCCTCCAGTAAGCTTCTGAAGCAGCCCATCCTAAAAAGGAAGCTGAAATTAGAATTGATTCCCCATTCTCCCCTAAATGGCCACCTGGGTAATTGCCCCATGTGGCAGGATGCTCTCCACCTGAGTCCCCTTGGAGGCAAGTCTCCAGCATCAACCACCACCAGCACATCCTCCCCCACGTGGCTTTTCCTCCCCTTATTTGACTTATGCTAACCTCCCCACTCCCCACCCTTCCACTGCACCCCTAGCACCCCAGCTCTGCCAGATCCTTAACAACTCCCCACCCCCTTTTGCATATTTTCTTCACCCTCTTGCATGGAAACCTGGTGTAGCTTAACTGGAAACTGAAACCTGCTCCCCTCCCACGCCCTGCCCGCCACAGAGCAGAAGGGAGGAGCGGGTGTGCCCATGGCCCCCGCCGCTGCTCACAGACAGCTCTCTGTCTCATCTGCTCAAAACCCCCACCTCTCGGGAAGCCCACGCCCTCCAACTACACCAGCCACTGTCCTCCACCACACCACCATCACCCACTCACCAAGCTCCCAACTCCTCTTCATCCTCTTCGTTCTTGCCAGACGTCAGCACCTGGCTCCTTCACTGGCTCCCTTCTGTTCTGCCCCTCAACTCCCTCTTGGCGACAGAACATTCATGAAGCGTGTGGAGGGCACCCTCCCCTCCCACTGCCCCACTCATCCTTTCCAGTGTGCGCCCCTCCATCCCCTCCGCCCACCCGTGTCCTTCATCATGCCTTTCCCGTCTCATTGCCAATGACCACAGGCCCTCTGGACTCATCATCCCCAGCATCCCACTCTGTGACCATGTCCTGCTCGGCCAACTAGCCCCGCTCCAACCATCTTCCACCCTACAGGCACCCCCAAGCCTGAGACCCAAGCACTCTGTATCTGGGAATATGGAACCGGCAAGGCATAGACGGCTCACTCAGGAGAGGCCGAGATGGACGGAGAGTCATGAGAGGCCTATGGACAGAGGAGCAGGCTGACTGAGGCAACCAGCCGGAGACAGGGCAGCTCCTGGGCACTAGGAACAACCTAAAGAGGCAGCGGAGACGAGGTACTGAGCCCAGTGAGAGCTAGAATGTGAGAGAAAGGCTGACAGGGGGCTGTGGCCTCAGGAGAACATGGCCCCAGCGAGAACCACCTCAAGACAAGAAGGGAACCGAGGGAGAATAAACAGCTCTCTTCTGGTTTGGGGCCAGGGCCTTCCACTGGCTGAAGTCAACTAGAAGTCAGCGCACCCGGGAGTCTCGGTGAGTCTTGCCTTTTACAGCAAAAAAGGATGGCGTGGAGGGTGGAGGGTGGAAGGAGCACAGCTCCCTCCCCGCAGCCCGGGCCTCATCTGCAATCGCCGTCCCCCTGCCCCTCCATCATGCTGGCCTGGCAAGCCCAGCTCCCTGCCCTCTCCAGAGCTGTATCCAACCAAAGTGAGGGGACTGGAAACAATTATGGGACTCTGCTTACTAGTCTCACTTTTTAAAAAAAATTTTATTTATTCTATTTTTTGGCTATGCTGGGTATTTGTTGCTGAGTGCGGGCTCTAGGGGAGAGGCGGGGCTCCTCTCCAGTTGCTGTGCTCTGGCTTCTCAGGTCTGGCTTCTCTTGATGTGGAGACCAAATCCTGAGCACGGGCTCAGTAGCTGTGGGCTTAGTTGCTCCGCAGCATGTGGGATCTTCCTAGACCAGGGATGGAACCCTTGTCCCCTGCATTGGCAGGCAGATTCTTAACCACTGGATCACCATGAAGTCCAGAGTCTCACTTTAAATATAGGTCCCCAAAGTCCCCAAGTCTCAAGGAGGCACTGCTGTCTGAATACATTCCTCTAATCCATTCACCCTTCCACAATTTTATCCCATTTTCTCTTCAATCTCCAATATGCTATACCCATTCCTGATGATTTCATGTCATATTTTACTGAGACAATAGAAGCAACCAGAAGATAACTTCATCGGGCCGTTCTTACCCATCCATAGACTCTGCTCTCCTCTGGTCACTGTGGGAACACTACCCCTGTTACCATGGGTCCTCCGCTTGTACACTAGACGCCATCACCTCTTACAGATTTGTAGGAATTTCCTACAGAAGAAACGTCTCCAATGGGTCATTCTCTCTGTGTGCAAACATACAACAGATCATATCCAGGAATGATGTGGGTGTTTGGGATTAACAGATATAAACTATTACATATAGAATGGATAAGCAGCAAGGTCCTACTGTATAGTACAGGGAAATATATCCTGAGATAAACCATAATGGAAAAGAATATGAAAAAGAATATATGTATAACTGAATCACTTTGCCATACAGCAGAAATTACATGACATTGTAAATCAACTACACTTCAGAACAGAAAATTAATTTTTAAGAAATAGATCATATAAGAAAAAAAAAAAAAGCTTTCTCTAGACCCTCAGCTTCTCTCCAATGCAGGAGACACAGGAGACTCGAGTTCAATCCCTAGATCGGGAACATCCCCTGGAGGAGAAAATGGCAACCCCTCTCCAGTACTCTTGCCTGGGAAAGTCCACGGACAGAGGAGCCTGGAGGGCTACAGACTGGCAAAGAGTGGGATGTGACTGAGCATGCACGACAGCATTCTCTGAAGGAGAAGGGAAATCATGAAAAAATTTTGAAAAATTCTGTTAGAAGTATCATTTTAATATGAAATTGAAAGGGAACTCCAAGTAAGGGAAACTAGTAATTGTTTGATCAGAAAGGAGGAAAATAATAATAGTTAACATTCATACCGAACTCTCTAAGCACTTTCTTTGAATCATCTCATTTAATTGCCAAAATAGGTACAATTCTCTTTTTTTATTGATGATATCCACATGGTTTGCTCCCTCACAAATGTAATTTCCCATTTTCCCTAGTCCCCTTTATTTTACTCCAGAACTCTCATCTCAATTTATGTTTCACCTTTTAAATCTTGTGTAAAGACCCTCTTCTCATACTAGAATGAAAGCCTGCAAGAATAGGCTCAACTGTATTTTTCCTTCAGTTCCTTATCCTCAGTGCTTAGCATACAGTAGATAACCAATAAAATTTTTGAATACCTAAATAAATAAATGATTAATTGAGTTTCATGGAGATGAAGTAACTTGTCCATGATCATACAGGTAATAAGTGATCAGAATTCTGATTTAAAAACCCATGTTCTTAAACCATTAATGGATTCACCAGAGTTGTACTATTGTACGCTAGAGATGAGTCCCCGCCTGAGGCTGCAGCGGTGGTAGATGGGGCGAGGGACTGAATGGCCTGGGTGTGGCAATAGTCTGTATATGGAAGGACGCTGAAAGAGATCACTCCAGGATGACTTGATTTCTAGATTTGGCAAATGCGTAGACAGTGATACAGTTCATCCGGAGAAAGTATACCAGACGTCTTATATTGGGTAGAAGAATGAGAAAGAAGGACATATCTAATCCATAAACTTTTAAAAACCATCTCGTCGATAACCAAGAAGTGTTGTTAAAAAGTAAGAAGCCAGTAAAACCCAAGCTAATCTCTTCAGTCGGACACCCGTTGGGGGATGGGAATGGACAGGTGAGACCAAATAGGAGTTGTTCTTTTTTAAAAACTAACTCAAGGCTACAAAGAACACGAAAAAGTTCTCAGGTGTGTTCATAATAATTCTGGTTAACTGTTAAGGCAGATGCGAACACCAAAGAATGGCCCTATCCTTATGTAGTTAAGTTGTAGTCAGCAAGATTATCTTGCTGGTGGCACTGGCTTTCAAGAAGTGACAATCAACGTGGAAGCAAGGCACTGACACCCAAGCCTAGTGTGGCCAGGAGGGCAGGGGGAAACGCTTACAGCAATGCACGCCGTAGCACGTGGTCGCCCTCGGACCCGGGGGCGGACTCAGCCAGTTAAAGAGGCGCAGGGAGCTCGCGCCTCAAACGACTCCCAACCCCGGCCCGGGCGCGGAGTCGGCCGGGCACCGCTTGGTTTCCTTCCACCGGCCCGGCCGCGGGCGGACGGCCTCCAGTCCCTAGGCGGCGCTGTGGGCTCGCAAGAGCGGCCGCGGCACTAGAGAGCGCCGTCCCTCCCAGTGCGCATGCTCGCTTCCGCCATGGGCTCGCTTTTTTTTTTTTTTTCCTCTGGTGGCCCAGGCGGCTGCGTACTGGCTGTGGGATGGGAAGTGAAGCCCCAGCGAGCGGCAGCGGCGGGGCTGTGAGGAGCAGCCAGAGGGAGGCGGCGGCGGCGGGGAGTCGGTGAGCAGCTGGGAAAGCGGAGCCGGGGCGGAGCACCTGCAGGCACGGGCGGCGGCTTCACCATGGCGATTCGCAAGAAGAGCAGCAAGAGCCCCCCGGTCCTGAGCCATGAATTCGTCCTGCAGAATCACGCGGACATCGTCTCCTGTGTGGCGATGGTCTTCCTGCTGGGGCTCATGTTCGAGGTGAGCCCAGCCCGCCCAACCGCCCGCCCCGCCGCCGGCCCGGGCTTCCAGCTCAGCCCCTCGGTCCGGGACCGCTGGGGGACCCCGGCCGGGGCGGGGGAAGGTGCCNGTATCGTGATGACTTACTTAACAGCTGTTGAATGTGGGTAATAAACTTTGCCAGGTGAACGGGTAACATCCTACGGCTTCCTTCCCCCCGCTCCCCAAAACACACGCCCGTTCCTTATCCTCTTTCCCTTTTTAACTTTTCTCTGTAGCTCCTGAGCCCCCACCAAATACACTCGTTATTTTACCTATTTATTGTCTCCCTCCTGGAATGTAACCTCAGTGAAGGCACAATTTTTTTGGTTTTGTTTTTCTTAATTTCCAGCGCCTAGGATATATCCCGGCATTTAGGAAGAGCTTACAAAATATTTGTTTAATGAGTGACATTAAGAATTGTTGACTACTGGGTAGCTCAGGGACCCCTACCCAGCGCTCCGTGCTTACCTAAATGAGAAGGAAATTCAAAAAAAGGCGATGTATGTGTATGTATAGCTGATTTACTTTACCTGTACAGTAGAAAGTAACACAACATTTTAGACAGCTATGCTCCAATAAAAATGTTAGCAAAATATAGACAGAGCAGTAAAGACTTTCATATGCAGTTCAGTGTGAACAGTATCCAATTAAAGACAAGAAATCCTGTTTCCAACTCACAAGTGATTAAACAAACAGTAGTTAAATTAAAAAAAAAGAACTCTTAAGAAAAACTAGTTGGAATGAGACTGCCAGTGACCAAAGGATGACTAAATTGTTAAAATAGAGCCTGTGTGGCTCTTTTAAATGTTATTATTAGAAATTGAATATTTTAATACTTAAAATATTTTCAAACTTTGCTCATCTTCAAATGGGCTTTTTCTGGATCTAGATAAATTTTTTTTTTTTAATTCTTGATAGTGTCATTTTTGCCCACTTAGTCCACAGTTAAGGAGGCAGTGAGTATTCCTAAATGGGAAGGTAGAAGGGAACTGACATGTGTCATGTAGTTCATTTTAGGCTGGGCCTGTGCTACTTACCACCTGAATGACCTAAGGGTAAGCCTCAGTTTTTCTGCTCTGTATAAGGAAATATGTGTGCTCTTCTCACCGCTTGCAAGGATCGGATAGCATGGTATGAAGGCATCTCATGGTTTATAAAGTACTGTATGAATATGTACGATATTAAAAATTCAATGCTAAACATTTGTGCTGACTTTCTGAATATTATACTTATGTACGTATACCTTCTGCTTTGGTCTTATATTGAACAGTTTTGTAAGACTTGCCATAACCCATCTCCACATGGTAAAAATTCCTGACTTTGAAGATGTAATTTAGGAATAATATTATCTGCAAAATGTATTTGCAGTGTTTTGAATGAAATGGAATATAAATCAGAAATGCTGACACAGAAATGTTTTAACTTTGTTTTTATGTAAACTTTTTTATGTTCTCTCACCACATTACTAGGGAAGTTCACCACCAGTTAACTTCCTCACATCAATGATTTTTTTTTTAACAGTGAAGGGATTTTCACTTTTACATTTGTAAAATTTATTGATTTAAATAGACTCAACAAAGATCTAAATAGAAGTTTTTAAAGTCAGTTCAAAAAAGAATGTTGAAGTAGTATACAGAAGAAAGTTTGTGTATGTCCCATGACATTTTTCTTGCCATATGTTAAAGTTTTAGGGTTTAAAAGCATGTTATTTACACATGGGAAAAAAATTTACCTGTTCGTTTTGATGCTTTCAAAATAATTGCTGATGAATCTCACCATTAACGTAGTTATTGAATGATGGCATCTGTGCTAGAATAATAGAGTTGATATTTTTGCAACAGAACTGTTAGCCTCTTGTGTAAATATATTGAGAAAATGTCAGAGGATTTGTGGTGAAATTGACAAAGCAATAACAGATACAGTATTACTAGCCAAAATGAAGACTCTAGTATAAATGCTGAAGCTAAAGGGAGTTAGGGCTCTACTGCTTGCTAACTTGGTAACCTAGGGCATGTCATTTAACTTCTCGAACTTGTTTCCTTTTCTGTAAGATAGGGCTCATTGGATTACTCCAAGAATTAAATTAATTTGTGTAATTCATAGTTGAAAGTTTAGCTTACAGGAGACATACCGTAAATGATAGCTCATTATTCCTTAAGTATTTATCAAGGTCAAAAAATAGAAGACAGAATTTTTATGTGAGAGAAGGTTCTAACAGCATCTAAAGAATTGTATACACCAACCTGCCAATGCAGAAGACACAGGAGATAGGTTCGATCCCTGGGTTGGGAAGATTCTCCTGGATTAGGAAATAGCAACCTACTCCAATATTTTTGCCTGGAAAATCACATGGACATAGGAGTCTAGCAAGCCACAGTCCATGGGGTCGCAAAGAGTTAGACGTGACTGAGCACACACATTCATTCTTGATAAAGCAATAATTTATTTTGGGGAAATGGAAGACTTTAATTTACAGGGAATTTTGTGTTTTCAGAAATTGCTGTGAATTTTGAAATTATGTTTTTTTTAGTACAGTCAGTTTCTGTCCACATACTGCAAATTGTGGTGTATAATTCATGACTTCATATTGGAGTGAGGAAAATTTAATAGAAGATGTAAGGATACTTGAGAAGCTTTCCAAAGCAAGGATGCAGAAGAGGAGTTAGGAGTCTCCACGAGGAAGATCTATTGGAAGGGACTTAACTTTTCACATACTCAGGAGTCCAGGTTGTTCATGCCATGCCAAGTTAGGGGGACCTTTACAATTGCAGGTATCATGGAACAGACTTAGAGGTTTGCTTTATTTCTAAGTGTGGCGTGTCTTAATGCCACCGTTTTCTTTCCTTCTTTTTTTTAAGAACTTAATTTTATATGTCAGATAGTAGGATTTGATATTCAGAAACTGCCTTTATCTTTAAGACATGCAGTCCATGTAGTAGTCACCCCTTCCTCTAGCAAGTACAACATAGTTAACATTTCTCTGTGACAAGCTACCAAGCCCCAGCTGGTGACCGTGAAAGAAATACTGTGATATTCATGGTAATTGTAATCAGTGCGGAGTTAAATAATTCATTAAGTGTCATGGTAACCTGTTTAAGATATATCTGAATAAGTCTCATATTTTTCTTTTAAATGGAGAGCAGTGCTTCAAGTGTCCCAAATTGTCATAAACTCAGTCAGTTTTCCTTTTGAACACATTATGTATTTCTTGTGTGTGCATGTTTAGTGTGTCCGACTCTTTGTGACCCCAAGGACTATCGTCCTCCAGGCTCCTCTGTCCATGGGGTTTTCCAGACAAGAATACTGGAGCCATCTGTCATTTCCTCCTCCAGGGGATCTTCCCGACCCAAGGATTGAACCCCTGTCTCTTGCATCTTATGCATTGACAGGAGGATTCTTTACCACTGCACCACCTGGGAAGCCCATGTATTTCTGTAGCATATTTTATTCCAAACTAATTTGTCTTCCTATCGATTAACTGTAATGTTAGTTTAACGAAAACAGTGTTGCCTGGGATGTGACACTTAGGAGGCCTGGAAATGGCTAAGGGCATGATTATTGGTTTAATTTTTCTTCTCTTTTAAAAAAATTTCCTATAAACTTTTGTAGGGTGTGTGGTTTGTATTTTTCTTCTTATTCTACATACTGTCACATGCTAAGCTATCTGGAAGCCAGATTTTAATTTTATTTGGAAGCCTAGCATGAAAGGATAATCTAATTTTTGTTGCTTTGGGAATTTGATATTAAATTTATCTTTGAAGAATTTCCCTTGTCATTTGTTTTTAAAAAAAAAACTTAGAAGTTTTTTCAGTTATGGTAGTGGTGACTTCATATTTGAAACTAGAAACAGGGCTACAAAGTGTGTTTGTGTGTTTGTATATGAAGTCTAAACAAGATATTAAAGCATAAAATTTAGTCATCAGTCAGCTTTATTTAAAAGAATTACAGAAAAGCAGTGTTACCCTGGAAACACATGTCATCGCTCTGCTGTAATGTATCCGTGGGAATGACCCAGAATGTAATACAGAAAAGCCTTACTGGCCTCTTCTAGTCAAGTGGCTTACTGTATCTACCCAGCAGGGCAGCTCGCTGGAGGGGCCTTACCCTGACTTCCTCTCACAGGCCTGCAGTACTCTAGGATGGCAGAGCCCCGCTCCACCTGCCATGCTGTGCCTCTCCCCACCTCTGCCGCTCACCTGCTGGGTCTCCCATCTAGTCCAGGCTTTGGTGGGGCCTGGTCCCCTTTCCTTTTCTGCAGTGTAGTGGCCTCCCGTTGCCTTGCTTTTCTCCCTGCAGGCTTCACTGGCCACACGCTCCCCAGGCCCTCGGCTCCCTTTCCCTGTTGGTCTTTCTCCCTGTTTGGCCTATACGTATCCAGCTGTGGTTCCCCCTGGCACTGATTTTTCGCTGCCTCCCCATTTGTGGATTGCTCAGGGTTGTCAGAGAAAGTTGTGGACTCAGGCTGCTAGATAATGTTACAAGTCAAAGGTTTCTGACCTCAGACGAAAGTAATACTCAGGGATCTTTTTACTTCTCCCTGGCCAGCTCCTTTCCCTAAAGGAACTTTAAAAATACTCATCATTGGATTCCCCAGCTGTGCTTAACAGATAACATTGCTTCCCCTCATGCCATGGAGAATTTCTTCAGTTTCTTGTCTTTTGAATTTATCTGTCCCATCATTTTTACCTTCTACTTAGTATAAGAGGAAAACAGTTTAAGATTAACCTTTAGCTGAAGTACTTTGGCCACCTGATGCAAAGAGCCCACTCACTGGAAAAGACCCTGATGCTGGGAACGATTGAGGGAAAGAGGAGAAGGGGACAATAGAGGATGAGATCATTGGATGGGATCGCTGACTCAATGGACAAGAGTCTGAGCAAACTCCAGGAGATAAGTGAAGGACAAGGAAGCCTGGCATGCTGCAGTCCATGGGGTTGTAGAGTCGCCTATGACTTAATGATTGAACAGCAGCAGCTATCCTTGTGATTCATTCCCTACCAGATCTTTCTGTCCCTTATGCCCTACATGTTAAATTCTCCCTAGCTCCTTTCCTGACCGGCCTCTCTCACCAGCTCAGTCCCTCCCATCATGAAACAACTTAAGCCTGACCTGGGACCTCTCACTGGGAACCCCTGTGTTCGTTCCTTTTGGGCTCTCCGCACCACTGTCATGTGCCTTGTGCTCTCTCTTGGAATCACTCAAAACGCTGTGACCACTGATGTCTTAAATCGTCCACTCCACTGTACTCTTTTCCTAACATGTCCCTATTGAAGCTTTGGCTTTATTGTCCACACCGTCCTGAAATGTTTCCCCTCTGGCTTTTGGGGTGTCCACTCTCTTCATTCTCTGCTGTTCCTCTCTGATCATTTCTTGTTATTTCCCCACCAGCTTTTCTCTGCCCTCTCCATGGTTCTGATTTGTCCTGCTTCTCATTAAAGCCTGTACACTCTCTACAGAGGACTTACATATTTCCACAGCCTCCACTGTGTACCATCTATTCTCTGTAAAGAGAGACTTCCAAAAATCCTTTAGCCTGGCCCTCCCTGCGGAGCTCCAGGAGTGGGCCTCACCTGCCTGTTGGTCTTTCCACCTGCATATCTCAAAGAAATCTAAGTTTACTGAAAACTCCTCTTTCCCTAAAACCTGTTGTTCCTCCTGTATTCCCCATTTTTATTAATAGTATTGTTTTTCACCTACTTGTTGAAGCATCAGTACATGATCTCTGATTCTTCCCTCCTGCATAACAAGCCTTCAGTCAGTCAGTCAGTTCAGTCACTCAGTCATGGCCAACTCTCTGCCACCCCATGAACCACAGCACGCCAGGCCTCCCTGTCCATCACTAACTCCTGGAGTCCACCCAAACCCATGTCCATTGAGTTGGTGATGCCATCTGACCATCTCATCCTCTGTCATCCCCTTCTCCTCCTGCCCTCAATCTTTCCCAGCATCAGGGTCTTTTCCAATGAGTCAG